AACATTTTAGAGAAAAGAAGTCCGAGATGATGTTATACTCTTACTGGCTGTTACCTTTTCCTTTTTACCTTTTCCTGGTTCAACCTGCCCCAATTCTTTGTAATATAGTTCTTTCAGATTTTTTTGAAAATTGGGTCAATCATTTGGCCCTAAGTGTACAAGTCTCTCAATAAGGTCACTATACTTGTCAGTCTGATTGGAGTTATTTAGACCTGTCCTATCCACTATTCTTGCATAAGAAGGGCCCCTCATATACCCTTCAACTACTTTTTTTGCTCCTGTAAAAGAAATGTTCCTTTTATATTTCACTTCTATAATGTTGTTTTCTTTTTTCCAGTAATTACAAGTTCAAGAGTAAGCTGGATGATTTTCATGGCAATTTGCGCATTTAATTTCATCTTGGCACTTATCTTCACCATAATCAGAGTCTTTTTGGCCACATTTTGTGCATGTAGACAACTCCTACAATTATCTCTTTGATGTCCAAATTTTTGACATCTAAAATATCTCAGAGGTACCAGGATATATAATTCCAGTGGCTCGACATTGTAGCCTATTTTGGTTTTAGATGGAATTTTAGATGAGTTAAACATAAGGATGTGCATATCCAGAAATAATTTTTCACCATCTTTTCTAATAGAGATCCTTCAGTAATCAGAGGCTCCCTGGCTACCCAAGACAGATGAAATTTCTTCTGGTGTGGCCAGAGAGGGCTCTTTACTTCTAATCCCTTCCTTTGATGTATTTCATCTTGTGTGAGGGAAAGTTTTAATATTCACATTGTGAAAACTCTTCATTTTCATTATAGATTCGTGTTTTCTGGTTTCAACCTCCGCCATCAAATTGCCGTCTCTCATCTTTCTGATTTCAGATTTGTCTACTTTCTCAATCAAGAAAGGGGACAGTCTCGACAAAAGAGTTTCCTCCAAAGACTCAAGCAGAAATAATCTTGGAAAGTCCATATTAGTTTCTTTTTCAGAATCTGAGTCCGAAAAGTATTGGTTGTGTTCTTTATTGTGATTCATAATTTGTATGAATTAAATTTCACTGCCTGTGCTCCCCACCCACCTCGGAGCCCAACAGTGGGACATGTCAAGGGGGAAACCTAATAGCCTTGACAGGTCATGGTTACACAAACCAGTATACTTGCATTCATGAGAGACCTGGAGTACCTGTCAGTACAACTGTCGCACTACCCAATTTTTCAATGAACAAATTAAAGGGTCCAAGACTAAATGTCTCTACGAACCGACTGACCATCAGCCAGTCCCTTCTAATGCCTATACATTAGGTTGAGTTGTTATCCAGCCAGTAGTTCATTTGGGTAAAGTTTTCCTAAAGTGCTCAATTTGGTATCGTTATAGGCATTAGGGCTTGACCCAACCAGCCAATTGATAAGATCAGGCCTCTAGTCTCATCCAGGTAAGTGCCAAAGTAGTGTGTTGGGAATCAGAGGTACCGAAGCCTGGCCACTGAAACCTTCAACCACCAGGATCCCGTCTCCAGACATCAAGGTCACCACCCACAGCAAATAGGTGGCCCAATTGGGGAGGGGGAGGTCTTAGCTATCTGCAAGTGCAGTCAACGTATTCTACAGCGCCAGTCGACAGGGCGGCTTTTGGGAGGAAGTGGGTATTAAAATTTAAAACAAATGCAAGATTTTATGACCCCCTTGTATTTTTACAAAACATATTTTTACTTACTAGGTTGTTCTTAAAGATATTTACTAAGCTTAACCTAGTCTAGCACAAGCCATAAGTATGGATACTCAGTAAGAAGTGCTTACCATTACTCCACAGTGGGGAACCCCTTTAAGCTGTCTTTATGTAAAATAAATACCAAGATACAAAATTTCAAATCAAAGACAATTTGTAAAGAGATACAATAGAACATTTGCAAATTTTTTAAACCAGTGTATAAAATTACTCTTTACTTCCTTTATTAGACTAACCAAAACAGATTCTATAAAAAAAGAACAGATTGAGGCTAGATCTTGTCTATACAGTTAACATAAAACTAATAAATCTTCATTTCCTCAAGTGTTTTATTTATTCTAGAAAATGCAAAGAAAATAAATAAGCTTGGAAAACAGAAAACTGGGTTCAAATTCCAGTTAAAATTATTTGTATCACATTAATGTCTTTTGGAAACACATTAATCCAATTGTCTTTTTGCTTTGTCCAGTCATCACCAATCATATTAACTCTCTTTTAGTAACTGACATATTATGAGGAATGAGTGTTTATAGTCAGGTCATATAGTCAGATTCCTTCCTGCAACTGATATCATAACTACCTGCATTATGATATTTCGAGAGGAGATGGGCACTGCCAAGAAATTCTCCTTGCCCACTAAATTTTTATGAAGAATAAAATGTCAGTTCCGACAAACATATCACACCAAAGGACCTCCTCCTCAGTCATTTCAAATGAATCTACAATAAATCTTATATTAAGGGTTCAAGGGAGATAACCACTATTTACGAATTTGCTTCAATAATAATAAAATGCAACAATTTTAAAAAAATAAAATGAAAGTTTAATAAATAATAATAAATAAAATAAAAAAACAATCCTTAAATTACTGTTATTTATTAAGCTTGGCTTCAGGCATAAGTATAAAATACCCAGTGAGGATCAAATTCAGTATTCAACAATAATGGTTCACCAGACTACCTCACTAACCATTGCCTTATGCTGAGGCACCAAAGTCATGTTTTATTAAACATGTTTTTGTAAATTTTTCGTTTATTTTTTTAATACTATAATTCACTAAATTCAAGGCCCAAGAGCCACTCAAGGTGAAAGGTTACTGAATGAGGTTGTTTTAAGAGCATAAGAGGAGTGGATAGATGTAGGATATATAATGATTGACCCTAGACTTGAAAAGGTTAAGATTGTAGTGATCAGGGAAGCATCCCCACAGGTGTCTATTCCACAAAACAACAGTTTTGGAGAAGAAGCTGTCCGAGTGCAACTTCTTCCTTAACAATGGAATATGAAGGGAATGAGGAGGAGTCAACCTTTTGTTTGTGGAATGGCAGGTAGTGATCCGATGGTCTGAACTGGTTTAAAGAAGAGTTTTACAAAACTGAATGCCAAACATTAAAAACAAAATCCTGTTAAAAATCCACTACTCTCTTTTACTTCAATTCTATGAATTATGATACTTGACAACATATGAAACACTTTTTTTCCAACAAAAGGACTGAAAAAAAAAAAAAAATACCTACTCTTTCTTCAGATACTTTGCTATCGCAGAGGTTAGTATCTCCTGAATTTTTCCTACTCAAATATCCAGACATCTTTGTGTCTGATGGATAGCTATATATAAATATGCTAGTAGATATTGAAGTCAACATCCAAAGGCGACAATTTGTTTCATGCTAAACACAATTGTTAGGCTTTACATGGCCTGATGATTGTGTTTAGTATGAAACAGATTGTCATCTCTGAGTGTTGACTTCAGTGTTCACTTTTATATTTTCATACACTATTCCTGATATTTAAGCCATAAATATAGCATACTTTAAAACTAGTTTATCATATATATGTATATATATATATATATATATATATATATATACACACACACACGTCTTCCCCATTTGTGACTGGAAGGGATAATTCTGAGGAGGATATAATAAATCCATGGAGAGCTTAATGTAGACTCTATTGCATTATAATGATAAAAAGACAGAGACTTAGTGGAAGAGATTTTGATCTGAAGAGTTGACCACCTCGGTGTTCACAAAATAAATTATAAGCAAAATGGATAATTAGAGTTTCCATCTTATATATATATATATATATATATATATATATTAAAATTATGAAAACGGTATTCTTGATAAAAACAATCTCAACCAAGTGAATGTCTTGATGTGTGAACATTTTTATTCACATTTCATTCAATATCTGAACAAGGGGCAAACACTTTTTCAGTCTTTCATTTTGCAATGATTAAGTGGAAAAAGATGAGAGCAGAGTAAAAGAGCTTTCCAGTTGCTAGAAATGAGTGCAAGCAGGATCATATATGCCACACCCCATTTTATTGTACAGGCTTGAGGGCTTTTCTTCAGAAAGACAATATCCTGAAACCAGAATTCTTCCCAGTTGCCAGACTGCATCATCTACAGAAGGATTTGCTGGTTTCAAATCAACTTCACTGACTAGTGGTGAACCAGGAACAAATGTTGATTCCCATGCTAACCCATGCCCGGAAGGAAGGCAGACGAGCAACATGCCTGGAAGCGAGGCAACATGACCGGAAGGGAGGCAGACTCCAAGAAGAGGTGATTTCATGCCTTTTCAAAGAACATTAGTATGAAGTAAACATAACCAGTCTCTGTAAGAAACCCTTCACCTGGGATGCATGTGCTCTAAAAGGCTGTGTAAAGTAATTTTGTGGATGTGAGAAAAGGGTACAAAATTAAAATTCTTTCATTTTATTGCTGATGTATACAATTTATTTTTATTTTGACTTCATGTCCCAAATCTGTAAATGATTCTTCAATTGCTGATCCCAAATAGCATAAAAAATAAAGATTTTTCAAAAGTATGAACATAAAACACTACTCACAGTTAAGTGAGAAAAAAAAAAGCAACAGCAGTCAGCACGCAACAGTTTTATTCATATCTTTATACAAACTTTTCATTTTGACATCTGGTAAATTCTAATATTTTTTTAATTAAGACCTTTTAATATACAATTTGCCAATTTTGGCATTTTTAAATTTAATTTTTTTTACCTCAAGATAAAGAGGTGCATGAAAGATTTTGAAACCTCGAAAAGATTTTAAGGCTTGAAAAGAGTTCAGAACCACTGTATTACACCATTCCATATTTCTTTGCAAGTATATCATTTTGCTAAATGCAGTAAGCAGAAATGTGTTCTGGGTCGGTTGGCACCAAATGAAATGTTAGCAAAACAAAAACAAAAAAACTGATAACTTTTCTCAAACAAGAGTAGAAACAATGAAATCAGGTGTTGGGTCTTACCTTTTTAACTTTGACTCCTAAAGTGAACAAATGCTTGCACAAAAAATGGGAATTGGTATCGGCTGTTTGACCTTTGAGAATTTCATCTCCAATCACTGAAAATTTGAAAGGAAAACATTTAAATTAGAACAGTGTAAAGTACAGAATATAACTAATCATCTTAAGAACCATTTACACTATTTACATTGTTTGGACTGTTGTTCTCATCTTTGTTGCCTTTTTCACAATGTTTTGGCCAAGTACAATGGATGAAACATCATGAATATGGCAACAAAAATGAAAATAACAGTCTGAACAATGTAAATAGTGTAAATAATTACAATACCTCATCTCAGAAATATAGACAGATATCTTAAGAACCAGTTACACAGCTTTGATATAACTTAGCAACCAATCAAGGAGGACTTTACAGCACCTATTTGAACAGACACTCTCCCATAAAATTATTAATTCACTAGTAAGATACCACTAAGTGAGTTTCCACACTTTATGACTACTGCATTCACAACTGAATGAGCAGGTTCTTCCTATCTTATTAAAACTAAAACCCCTTTTGTCTGTTAGCCCAACTACAGTCAAGATTATCTGTGACTTCTGGTTCCTCCCAAAGCTAAAAAAAAAAAATAAACAGACATACACACATTGTTTGACAATATTAGAAAGAATGCAATGAGGCAACTGATTGCAATCTCAAAAGAGAACATCTCAAACTTTGAACAGAATATCAGAGCGAGCAATACAAATGTAAAAGGATGGTATATCTATGCTTCATAGACTATACTAAAATATTTGATAAGGTATGACATGAAGATCTATTTGAACTGTTAGGAAAACTTTATTTACATTATTTGGACTATTGTCCTCATCTTTGTCGCCATATTTATCACAACATTTCGGCCGTTGTATGCTCCGACCTTCTTCAGGTGGTTGGAATTTCGAACTGGACCCTTTATTTCGCTCACTGGGGTAGACAATAGATAATCTGATGGAGATGTTGACTTTCTGTACACAAACAACACACTTCGGAATGGGATCACACATATATCGACAGGATGAGGGCTTAGCAATGGGTTTGCCATTATCACCAGCAATGGCAAATATATACATGGAATACTTTGAGGAAATGGCATTAGAATCTATATCTCTAAAGCCAACTATATGGTTAAGGTACGTAGATGACACCTTCATACTCTGGCTACACCAGGAAGATGTTCAGGTTCTACTGGACCATGTGAACTCAATAAGACCTTTGATACAGTTCACAATGGAGAAAGAGAGTAACAACACACTCCCATTCCTGGATGTTCTAATATCTCGAACAGAGCATGTGTTTAAGACATCCATTATACCGAAACTGACATTCACTGGACAGTACCTCAATTTCAACTCCCACCATCCATACAGTGTAAAGAAAGGGATCGTCCGTTGCTTACAACACCGAGCAAAAAGTCATAAGTGGCGACCCAGAGACATTAGATAAAGAATTGGTCAGTATAAGTAGTACCCTACAATGTAACAACTACCCTGGGTACATGGCAGCAGCCTCCCAAAAGGACAACAACACTCAGAAAACAGTCTGCCTGCCTTATGTGAAGGGGTTATCAGAGAAAATACAAAGGATCTGCGGTCCATATAACATCAGGACAACCTTCAAAAGCTTGACGACACTTCACAGATATCTCTCCCGAGTAAGACCCCCCCATAGAGGAGAACATGAGTAAAGACTGTGTGTACCCTATCCCGTGCAGCTGCGGAAAGGAATATAAAGGAGAGACAGGCCACCCCCTCAAGGTAGGGCTTCAAGAACACCAGAAAGCTGTAACACGAAGGGAAGTAGAAAAATCAGGCATGGCTGACCACATATGGAGAGAGAAGGGAGATCACCGCCCTCTGTGGGAACATGTTGAGATCATAGACAAGGAACACCATTGGAAAATTTGTAAACTTAAGGAATCAGCACATATGCTAAGCCACAAAAATCTCCTGAGCTGACCAAGCATAGAAATAAATACAATATGGGAACCAGTAATAAGGAGTGCCAGAGAAAAGCAATGATAACAACAAAGTTGCAATATGAGCTCTGGTAAAAACATGGAATGATAACAGCAAAATTGAAATATGAGCACTGGTAAAAATGGTTGCTGAAGACATTAGGTTTATAATACCCAGAAATTCATACCCAGATACACATGGGGCACAGTGGATAAAGGCGTTGGTTAGATCCAGTGACAGGACCCAAAGAGTTAAGGCAGTGGAGAACTTTCAGAGGGAAATTAGCAGGAGATAACTGATAACTGACATCCATCAAACATGGCACGTGGAACTAGAACAGTCTACCCCAGTGAGCGAAATAAAGGGTTCAGTTCGAAATTCCAACTACCTGGAAGAAGGCCAGAGCATACAACAGATGAAACATTGTGATAAATATGGCGACAAAGATGAGGACAATAGTCCAAATAATGTAAATAATGTACATAATACCTCATCTCAGAAATATAGACAGACTAGGAAAACTTTATTTAGGAAAATATAATAATCCAGAACATTTAGTAGGAACAAGCTGTCTACATGCAGACAGAAAATGATTTGAACAAATGCACAAAAATATTGGGTCAGAAAAAGGTCATAGAATTTTTAAAGACAATATTTAAATATTTGTACATAGATTTATTGAACCACATCATTTTGTTTTGTCATTTTGTTCCACTATTTTTTGTCATGTTTGAGGCAGCTTCATGATTCAAGAATTTGGTATCTTTCTAAGTGAAAGTAATTTTTAAAGCCAACTTCTCATTAAATGAATTTTTTAGGGATTGAAATAAGTAATAATCCAAAGGGGTAAGTACAACAGGTGTAGTAAGGACATCCCAGCCAAGCTGTATCAATATCTACTTTGTCTGAAAAAGAGACATGACGTCTAGTACCATTCTGATAGAAGACAATACTCATTCAGTTGGCCTATTCTGAACAATATTTAGCAATTACTACCTTGTCTGAATTCCACTTCTGATTTTATGGAAGGAGCTTGCACTCCACAGTATCCTTCCAATCTCATCAGATACACACTTTCTTTGGATGCAGACGTGGTTAATTATAGCTCATTTGTTCACTCCAGAATAACCACTATTACAATATCTATCACAAGGAATGGTACAATAGGGCCATTGCTGTATTCATAACTGTCTGCAATCATTGCAAGAGAGTTCTACAAAATGCAAAGTGCAGCTATGCAGAAACAGTCCAAGGCAACGTCAAAAACAAAAGACTTGGATCCTGTGAGTTCTAAAAACTCTCTAACCAAATTCCCAAAGCAAAGCATCAGTGCCTACCATCATAAATGGCCCTAAGGTTATCTCATCATCATTAAATAAGGCAAAGCTCTTTGCAACAATCTTTGCCTCTAATTCCAAATTAGACGACAAGAGTCATCCCTTTCCCAACTTCCCCTCTTTCACAGAACACAAACTTAACAATATTTCTTTCCCAGCTTGGGAAGTTCCAAGAATTATCAAAAGCTTTGAATCTAAAAAGGCTAGCAGTCCAGATGGTTTTCCTTAAGGATATTATCTCCAAATTTGACAAAATTGTTTAACTACTGTCTGAAGGAAAAATCCTTCCAAAGTCTATGGAATGTGTCAAATGTACACTCTCTTTTTAAAAATGTGGCCGAGTACTCATGTCTGTCTCAATATTGGTTCATTAGCCTCCTTAGTGTCATCGGTGGAGTAATGGATAGTGGCTCATATTGAGGAATCGAAGAGCTGAGTTTGAATTCCAGTCGAATCCATTACATTCACTTACGTGCTAATACCCTTAGGAAAGGTATGAATCCTCTTCTCCCCCCAGGTATGGGTAAATAGCAGGACAGACCAGGTTCTATAGCCTTGGGTGGCAACTGGCCTACCACAGAAAGAAATGGCAACCTACTGTGGGGGAAATAATCTGCCTCGTCAGTCATATACCAAAAGATACATGATTGCCTAAGCATGTATCCCACATGGCACATGACTGACTGGATGTCATCACCAAACTCATTTAGGAATATTTATGCAGATGATACAAATTTTTATGGGTGCACCTCCAAAAATCAAGAGGAGCAGAGTCTGGAAGCTGATCTCTCCTCTGACCAAGCTCTAACAGCTCAATAGAGAAAAAATCTGGCTTGTCGCATTCAATACTTCAAAACCTCAAATGAGTAATGTTCCATCATCACCATAATGAACAGGTGTTCTCTCAAGAAAGCTTCTTGCCCTGAAATTTAAGCTCATCTCAGATCATAAATACTAGAAAAATGGTCAGTTCCTTGTACCACTCCAGTAAGTACTTGACTCCTCCTGTTATGTTCTACCTTTACAAAAGCCAGATCAGGCCTTGGGAAAAAGTATGAATCCATCTCTTCTCCCCCAGCTATGGGTTGAATAGCAAGACAAACTGGGTCCTATAGCCTTGGTTGGCAGCCAGTCTACCACATAAAGAAACAGTAACCTACTGCAGTAAAATCTTCTGCCTAGTCAGTAACAAATCGAAAGAAATAAGAACACCTAAACATATATCATGTATGGTACTTGACTGACTGAATACATTTTGAAGGTTACACTAAGAGTCATTTACTGGAAAGAATGTTTTTTTTTTCATAATGCCTATATTGTTAATGTAATAACATTTTACCCTAAAAAATTGTTTATTTAGTAAAAAGTTTTTCTTAATTTTTAAATATGTTTTCTATCTTCTTATTTTGTTTTTGCATTTGTTACTTTTTTTCTGGCAATCAAAAAATAAATGGCTGTTAATAATAAGCTTTCTTCATATTTTGTTGATGTCCAATTTTGGAATTTTGTTAAGAAGGTTAGCATAAATGCTAGATATACCATTGATTAAACAGGGCTAAGTAAATAACAAAGAAACAGAATATATTTGAATGGACAGAAAATATACAATAACATGTACAACATGAATTAAGACCCTTGTAACAATGCCAAAAATGTTTTGTGACTTTAAGAGAATCTGACCACATTGACCAAAAAGAGCTTGGTAGAGAAAAAAAAATATCTTCTAATCAATCAGATTTTGCTTCATCTAGCTTTCTCAGGATCCA